TGCGGATTCGAACCCGCGACCCTCAGATTGTGAGTCGAGCGCCTTATCCACCTGGCCATGCCGGGCTCATTTCTTTAGCTCTACCATAACTTAATTGATTTTGATGATTGTACGTGACGTTCTATCGAATAACGGCAGCTTTGTCACTGGATTTGCTCTACTAGAACCTGTCGAGCAAGAGAAAAAGAAGTAACTGTTGATTATTTTTCAAATAGATTTCAACAAGTATTATTATCATTGAAAAATGTTAAAATCGGATACTTTTCACCAAAAAAATTTCAAGTCTAATTATTTTCGTCCTTGATTTCTATGAGAACATTAAAAATTATTTTACAACTTTTACTGTTTTTGCTGAAAACGAGTTACGTTGTTGTACCCCCCCCCCCCCCAGTGAGTCAGTGGTAAGTATACGGACTCACATCCGAGGTTCGATTCTTCGTGCTGGACAGAGGGCAAGTAGCCGATTATATAGCTTTTCGCTGTATTCAAGCTCATAAAAATATTCACTGTAAAATGTAAAGTAGAGATTAATCCTGTTGTTTTACAGATACTATCAAACAACCTTTTACTGCCGATTGTATTATATTGAATAATCTTATGTTTTTACCTGTTACCAACATTCAATATAAACAACTGACCAAAATAATTAGGGTAAATCGCTTATTTTATGTGTAAAGTAATTGGTAGGATTAGCTACAATACTGATGGTATTTTCTATGCTATTAGATAAGCGATTTGGTGCATAAATGGTTTAGAAAATTTTATTTAGAAAGTTCTTGGATCTTATTGGTAATTCTATGGTTAACAACAATTCAGTTAAGAAACGAACCTGGCACAAAAATCACGTGACAAGGAATCAATTTGAAAAGAACAAACAAGAAGTATCGTAATACTGTTGTTACTTTTCACAACTTTGTAGTGACTAGAAGATGATGACTCAATTAATGTCCATTTTATTATTCTAGTCCCTCCGAATCATTACATATTTTGTTCCAAGATATGATGGATATAAAAGCACGTGACAGACTTGTCAACCAGTTCATCTCTGTATTTTAGTACCAGTTAAAGAAAAACAACTCAATTGTTTTCAGAATACGGAAAAAAATAAAATGATTAATTAACGTTAGAGGTCGCTTTCACAGATACAACTTTGCAATTTAACTGTGGGCTCTTCAACTCCGCAGATTCTTCTTACCAATTAAATCTAATAATTCAGGTATGTTTTTGTGAGAATTAGCCAGTTAATATGGTATTCGCGCTTTATTTTATATAAATGGGAAGAAATACATAATGTTCAATTTAAAAAAAATCAATATATAGGTGGTGTTTAAAATATATCCGGAAAAGTATCATTGGACGAGATTCAAGCAGTACTACAAGGTGGAATTACTTTGTCATATTATTTGATTTTCATGTTTGTTTGTTTGTTTTTTGAATTTCGCGCAAAGCTACACGAGGGCTGTCTGTGCTAGCCGTCCCTAATTTAGCAGTGTAAGACTAGAGGGAAGGCAGCTAGTCATCACCACCCACCGCCAACTCTTTTACCAACGAATGGTGGCATTGACCGTCACATTGTAACGCCCCCACGGCTGAAAGGGCGAGCATGTTTGGTGTGACGGGGATTCGAACCCGCGACCCTCAGATTGCGAGTCGAGCACCCTAACCACCTGGCCATATTTTCATAAAACTGAAATTTCGGCTAGAAATGAAACAAAAAAAGAATTGTTGTAAGCTTTATTTTATTAACATGTAATTAGTGTAATATTCAACTTTATGCAATAAATAGATCTATATCGATGTAAATTAACTGATATACAAAAAACAATTCCCTTAGAAACGGAATGAACAATGGTGAATACACGACATGATGGCGCTTTTTTTTAATTCAAAGGAAAGAGGATCTTAAGAGGTATGTATTGTCTCTGAACAACAAAAAAGTACCAGCCTTGTCATTTATATAATAAGTTACTTCCTACCAATACTGCATAATACACATACACGCAATCCCTTAAATAAAGCTTAATTTTCGATGTTATGCTTCTGGTGAAATTCACCCCACCCCCCCAAAAGTAGCGGTTACGAAAAAATCACCTTAATTATGGATTTTCTTTGTAATCACTTTGTAAATATATTGAACTACTCGTTAAGTAAGGTACCAGAATGTTTAATATCTTCATGTAATTCATCATTTGTTTTACTGCAACAAATCCCTAACACCTGTATTTAAAACTCGCTTCACTTTCACACAGTACCTCACGGAGGTTATGACGTAAACACAGTTTCCCAGAACTGGTGTGTAGAAATCGAAAGAGGTCATCAGCTGCTCATGTTCTTTCCACTTCAAATGATTTCTTTATAATTAATATGAATATTGAATTCAATACTTTGATGACTGAAGAGCAGACTTACAATAAATGTATAGCATGGGTAACTTGATATTAGAAAGTGTGCGTGCGTGTGTACATACTTACAGGTGGGAAGAAGTAATACCCTGCTCTTTGTTCTTTTAATGTAACTAAAATTAAACCTATTAAATTTCTACGTCATACTCTATTAGCCTATCAAAGTAAAGAAAGTCCAATAGGAATACATGATAAAAACACCAGCAAATTATCAGTGTTTATTTTAGTTCATTAAGAAATGTGATATTTATTAAAAATCTAGTCACCTCAACTTCCTGTAATTCCTCCTCTAATCTCATCAATAAACCTTTAGAATTTACTTTCAGTTTTTCATTTCATTGACTTTCCTTTATATGGATACCAACTAATCTCTGATTGGAAGAGCATTTAAGGAGCAAATCATACTGGCCATTCTTCCACGAGTAGCTTCATTGACATTTGGCTGGCTGGTTTCAATGTACACATTCAAACAAAGGCAATGGGTAAAAATTAATATCCACCCGCACTGTTGGGAAAAATAACGAAACGATAAAGTACCATATAAGAAATGCGTGTAATGTAAGGAAAATAAATAATAAATTACACTGTTGTAATTTTAAAATCAATATTGTATACAATGTGTTTTGAGTCCGTTTTACTTCACCATATATAAACCTAAATTAATTTAGGTATTATTTTAGTGTTATGACATTTTATCGAATTCATTATTCGATATTATAACGCAAACTAACTGTTTAATGATTGTATACATGTTAAAGATTTATTTTCTTTTTCACCAAGACCCAAACTGTGCTGATAAGCCTTGAATAGGGGAAACTACAGTCCTCAGGAGAGGATACCACCAATCAAAGAATACATTAGGCCTCTACGTCACAGATTCCATTTTCAATTTGACCTTGGTGAAAAAGAAAAGAAACCTTTAAGAGTGTACAGTTTGATAAATGTTGATTGTAACTTAATCAACCTGCAAGACAACTTGACAAAAATGTATTTATTTATATTCCTTTGTTGTACACAAACAGAGTACGATAAAAAAATTAGCACAAATGTATATAATTTAGATGGTCATCTTAAACCTCGCTGAACTGGAAGAGATAGAAAACATCAAAAAGTTACAGAATTGCATTCTTTCTTCAAGATAAAGAAAAAAATTCCATTAAACGTTGTTACATGAATATCGGATATTAACACGATTAAAAAAAAGAGATAGCCACACTAATCTAGAGTGTGAGAATCTGAATGATTAATATGACTAAAGGAAACATTTGACAGTGTTATCACATACATACATACATACCCACACACATATATATTTTGAAACGTTATTGCACTTATTAAGACATTTTCTCCATCAATTATATGTATTACCTTTCCTTAACAAGGCAAGCAGATATACACAGCTACAAAACAATTTCCAAGTTTTTAAAGTTGATGTTACAGAGACTGTGACACTGAATCTCATTAACATTTAGTTCATTTTCACACATTTTACTCTGACCAAAAAGTAGCTAACAAGAAGTTTGGAATTAATATTGATTAAACTATGACCCAGAAGGTTCATCATTTTTACCAGTATCTCATGGAAATGAAAATAAAAAACTATAAACAACAGGTTATGTTAATTTTATATTAACAATATAAAAATAGCCATTTTTTATAACAAGAATAAACTTTTTGTCACCAAATTTGGAAAAATTGGCAATAGCACGTGTAGAGTTTTGTTTAACTTTGACTTGAGAGAGCTAGAACTGCCAGTTCACTGGACTCATTTTCAAATCATTTGTTTTCAAGTGTATAACATAATCAAATGAAATTTGAGTTTCCTCATAAACAAAATCTTACAAGTAATGGCAATACGAAAAAGGTAATTTTTATCATAATTCATATATTATAAAAAAAACATGAGGAGGTACCTTAAACTTTATACTAAACTCAAAAGCTTTGTCATAATGTAACCAATTTACATAACGAGTAAACGCATTTAATACAAAGGCACAAGATTCAAAATTACACATACGTATACATTCATACATCATAAGATACTTGTTCATGATGTATTTGTATACTTGTAAATTTGTACAGTAGTTTTAGAAAAGGCTAGCATATTAAAGTGTTATCAATGTTAAAGTAGAGGGAAGGAAAATAAACCGGCGTAATAAGAAATGTTTAATAATGTAAACAAAATATTGTCATATTTAATATTTAAAATGTCAAAGTACTTGACATTGTACAAATTGCTATCTAGAAGTAGTAAACATCTATCTAACTACAATAAGCTCTGAAATACTAGTCCATTATTTCATTTAGAGAAAACTGTTTAAGACAGATTTAAACATCCTTAAAGAACCGTCCCTTGGGTTTCCAATATGACTATAAGAATCAGAATAATTTATGCAAAATCTAATTAATTTTACAAAGACAAAAGTAACAAGAAGAAAGTTAAAGAAGAGTCTAAAGTTAAGTCTAGGGAGAGTTACAACAAATAAGAAATTTAGTAATAATGAGGAATCCACTTTTGGTTCATACTTTTGGTTGAAATAAAAGTTACTATTATAACAGAAGCATATAATATTAGCAGATCAATGATAGCTATGAACAAAAAAATTTTTTTACTTTCTATTTCAAGATTTGCAATGGGTGTAGTAATAGTATAATGATGCATGTATAATTTCAACACATTATTTAACTCAAAACCAAATAATTGGTTTTAACTGCTAAACCAGAGTTAATTTACAATCAAAGCCAAAGCCCTCATTGAAAGGCTTATCTTGACATTGAAGATTTCATTTATAAGGCCACCAGGAATTTTTTAAGGTTCCAATACAACCCTTTTATAGCACTCTTCGGGAAGAGCATCTTTGATCTCTTTCACATTTTTGACATCCTTCTTTAACTGTTCTATTTCTTTTTCATAGTCTCGCATCCACCTGTGCTGGTCATTACGAGCTTTACGAAGCTCATTCATTTGTTTGTCCAGTTTGGGATCTTTAAGTTCATCTTCTGCCTCAGCCAGTCTCTTTTCCAGTTCTTTGAGGAGGTCAAGATCAATGTCATCAAGATCATCTACACAATAAAAATATATATATTATAGGGGGCGCTCTTGCTTGCTTTTTAACATTAATTATCTGGAACTTAAATGATTGGTATTGATAGTTCATATTCCTTAATCTTTAATTGCATTCACCAAACTTAAGGACTTACAGAAATATGTACTTTAAGGAAACATGAATTTATTAACATTGTGTCACATGATGAATAATGTACTTCTAAGTTCCAAGTATTCATAAACTTTATATTTTAATGTTTGTCTTGTAAGCAAAATAGATTCTACAATAATTAATAAGTAATTAAATTTTTGAGTATGTAATAAAGATACAACTTCCTTTCATAAAAACAGAAGAAACAAACGCCAGAAAACAGTTTAGTTAGAGGTCTTACAAAAAACTGAGAGATAGCAAATTCAACTTTTTTTTTATGGTTTTGTTTATCATTCACTTATTATTCCTTCTATCATTTAGTTATATTAAAACACTAACTCATCTTCTTGTTAGAGCTTCTTGTTTGAGTATGTTTGTATTATGAAACTAACACAAGCTTCCCTTAGCGGTGGCGTACATATATGAATGTTGTGAAAGATTATGTAAATTAGCTAGTCATATGAGATGTAACCTCGTGGCCTAACCACTAAATAAAAACCCTACCTAGAGCTTAAACAAGTTACTTCACGAGATATAGTTAAAACGTATTAGTGCCGATTGTTACTTGTTAATTTTATTGATCTTGAAGTTGTTTAAATTTTGAATTTTTTTTTTCTCGAAATTAAGTTTTTTCTTCTTCTTCTGGTTCTTTCTCCAGATTCCTTTATTTATTGAAACAATTATTAACATTGATATTTATGTTGTATTGTTTATTAATGTTAGTATCAAGTCCTGGTCAGGCATAGATTTATTAGCTATGTTTTGGGTAAGTGATAAATTTTATATTCCAATTGTTTGAAAGTTTTATTTTGGAATTATGTAGTTGTAAAAGTTTAGTAAGTTAATTTTTTTTGTTTGACCCTGATTGTAGTGGCTGTTTGTTTTAGGCTGTTACAACTTGTACAGTGATCTGTGTCATATCTATCTAATTAACAATTAGGCCACCAACTTCTCTATAAAAAGTGATAATTACCAAGAGCATCCATTATTCTATCAACAGCATCCAGAGCTCCTTTCACTTTTTTGGAGGCATCTGTAGCACTTGTCTTTGCTTGGTTTGCTCTTTTAAGTGCCTGAAAGATAGAGTATGGTTAGTAAAAACCATATTTTTGGACAAAAGTGTCAAGAACATCACTGGATTTTAGTACTCTGGATGTAGACATAAACACTCTTGATATTATTATTCTTTAATTGAATTGTAAAGTTAGGTTACATTTACAGCTAAAATACCACTTCTTGTATGGATAATAGGTTGTTTTTTTAATAAACTGAACAATATTTAGAATACTCAGATCAATAGTTCTTCATACAAAAAAATGAAGTTATAATGAAAGATACTAGTCAGTTAACTAAATATTTTTAACAAAACTGTATGACTGAGAAATAAATGTGAGATACAGTTACTAAATATTTGTCCTACACACACACTCATGCAGGGACATAAGGATTGCTTTATTGTTTCAAACTTTATTTTGAAAATTTACTACTAGATGAACTCAGAACATTGTAATTAGTTGCTTTTCTTTAACTAAATGTCATGATGGCTTACTTCTTCAGCTAAACCTTCATCTTTCTCAGCCTGGTTTTCATAGTCTTTCATTCGGGCAGCAGTGTCGGCCACTTCACCAGCTAAGTCATTGGCTTGATCTCTTAACTGTCCTGCTTTGTCCTTAGTCTCATCTGCATCTTTTCTAATCCCATCTGCATCCTAAGATACAATGATTCAAACTGAACAAACTGCAAATCATGAGAATTGTTTATCAAGATTGTGTATATTAGAGCTTAAAGTACACAAAAGCCACATTTGGTTTTCTTACATAGGCATCAGTTAAATATTGAATAAACACTTGTAACTGGCAAAATGCAACAGTTTGTTTGTTTGTTTTTGATTTTGATGCTAAGCTATTCAAAGGCTATCTGTGGAAGCCATCCATCCTAGAGGGAAAGCAACTAGTCAACACCACCCACCACCAACTCTTAGGCTATTCTTTACCAATGAATAATTGGATTCAAATACATGACCCTTAGATTGTGAGTCAAGTGCCACTAGGCAAACGTCAGGCCATCTGCAATGGAATAATGTTTTAATTTATCAATAAAAAATATAGTAGTTTAGGTTAAAATAATACAAAACAAAGTGCTAAAAATATTTATTTAATACCATTTAATTTTTTCAATTAAAACTGTAATTATTTGAGGTATTAGAAACAAATAGTCTTTTCTGAAGGACCATCAAGGGGTTCTAAAACTCTTCTTTTTTTTTTTCATTTTATTATTATTATAAATGTGGAATGACACACAAGTTTTAGATTTAATGTCATGCAATTATACAAATATAAAAAACACATCAAAAGTTAGAATAACATTTTTCACAATGATAATGCAATTTCACTACTGTGTCCATACAAACTGCAATTTAAACTATTTAAATAATAAATTTTACAGCTGATGTGGAAAACTTGCTCACGAATATTAACCACACAGTATAAGTATTTTATTACATTCTTATATTATAAGAATGAGTTTCTAGCAATTAAGTATATGAGTGAATAATAATAAGTCATGATATTTATATTTATTCTATTTTTACACAGATAGTATTTCCTTTTATTCTGGTTAACTGTTTATATGTACACTTCTTACTTAATCAAATCTCATTCATTTAGGTTAGACATTAACAGAAAAATAAAAAGAATGCTTACATCTGAGGCTTGTTCTGCTATTCTCTGTGCCTCTTGAGCTATATCTCTAGCAAATACAGCATTTTGTCCAGCTCCACTGAGAGCATCCTCTGCATCCTTAGTCTTCCCCTCAGCTTCTTCAATCAACTTCTCTATTTCTGGGGCCTTTTCCAAAGCATCATCAGCCTCATCTTTACTGTCTTTAACCAGCTTGTCAAACTCTAAATGAGAAAGATGAAACAAAACCGTGTAAGAAGAGTTCCCATATCATTGTTTTATCTTTAATAAATATTTTGGAAATTTAAACTGGAACTAGGGCTTGTAGATCAGTGATAATTAGTAATGTAATATCCTGAAAAGATGCAACTCAACAGGATGCTAACGAGTGTTTGCTAAAGGTACAATAATGTTCTACTGATATTATTTGATAAATTTCTATCATTTTCTTAAAGACAGATCTAGTTCTGTTGGTTGATCTATCTAGAACAACAAAGCTTTTAACCTTGTTCCAGTACATTGAATTGAAAGGGCTTACAACACTATCTTTCCTTGGTTAAGTCAATGCTTACAAAAAAAAAGTGTATTTAATATTATTAAATAAATATACATCAAAAGCACTGGTGACAGGGATACAGTAAAATATATGACGATTAGCTTGAATTTACTGTTAATTCTAAATCAAAATATTACTTCTCATCGTTTTTGGCTTCTCTTGAGGAAGAATCCTAACAAAGAAAAATCACACACTTAAGTCCAACAAGTTGCTGTTTCTTTTAAGCTTCCAATATCTTTTGAATATTAGATACTATCAAATTCACATGACCTAAAAAATTAAAACAAGTTTTTTTTTCCAATGTTCATTTTTTCTGAAGTAATGCACTACGAGTCACACTTTTGCATCTCTGGAAAGTTTTTGTCAGAACTAATTTTAATCTATATATTATTATAAATTTCTCAATGACTTAGACGAGGGCAGCACATAGTCAAAAAAGCTATAAACATCTAAATTCAAACCTTGCAGTTTAAATGCTTTGTTTATTTTGGATATTCTTACAGAACTACAAAAAGCCTATCTGCTCTAGTCAACCCTGATTTTAAGCTGATAAACTAAAGAAAAGACAGCTAGTTAATAACACCTCCCAACACCTCTTGAGCTACTCTAGTCAAATAGAAGGATTCGGGCTGCCACTCTTATAATGCACCCATAGCACCAAAGGACTCTTGGATCCGTAGTCTTTTATAATCCACAGTATACAAAAATGGTTTATAATAAGTTAATGAAATTTTAAATGTTCAATATAGGAAAATTACTAATTTGTGTAGAGGATATACATTTGTCCCTAAAACCTTCAAGCTAGGAAATTTTAAGTTGTTTTGTACACTAGGAAACAGCTACACTTCTACCTCCAGAAAGATGGCTAAAAAATGTACTAAAAACATGTTAACAAAAATAACATTATGGAAGAGGAACTCACTAGTCAGATGATTCATCTGCAATTTGTATCTTTCTCATCCCATACCAACAGCATCTTTTCTGTGTATTCACCTAATATCAAACTAGTTCTTTGGCAAACAACAAAATTTCCCAGTTAGCTTGAGAAAGACAATCCATCTAACTGACTGTGAAATATTATCTGATACAGTATACTAGTACTGTGTGTGTGTGTGTGTGTGTGTGCGCGTGCTCTTGTAGCAAGTAATTTCGTTATCAAATGAACAATAATGGGCTACGATTTTAGAAAAGATTAAATATTTACTTTTCAGAGTATCAAGAGTTTTGTTAGCTTCCTCAAGTGTTCGATCACCAGAAGCAACAGCTTCCTTAGCTTTAGCCAGAGCAGCATCTGCATCAGCTAGCATTTCATCAGCAATCTGAAACAGTATAATACAACTTTATAATCCTTCTGTGCATATAGAAAATACTCAGGACTCTTTAAAATGTAAAAGATTAGATTTTTATACCCTTAGATAAATAAAGAAAAAGTTTCTAAAGCTTATTTACTGAAAAAAAAGTATACATTGCATTCAAACTCTTTTCTCATTGAATATTAGTTACTGTTGTTTAAGTGCAAAGCTAGACAATGGGCTATCTGCACTCTGTCTACTGTAGGAAAATGAGCCCCAGATTTTAGCACAAAGTCCATAAACTTTCCATTAACCCATTGGGGAACACTGAATATTACTAACTTTGAAAAATAATTGTTTCTTACTTTAAAATAGCATTATATCTTAAGATAACTATTCCAGAACTATGTATACAAGTTTTGAATAATAATTTAAATCTTTTAAAATACCCTTTAAATTATTGATTTGTTAAACAGAATAACATTTTAATTATAAAATATATTTTAAAGATTGTATAAATGATAAGTTATACATATAAATTTTTTAGAAGTTATGCTTTAAATGCAGAAAACTGGAAACTATTAGAAACCAGTAATCCTCACACTTGTGCTAAGAATGACAAAATGCTAATGATGTGTGTTTTTTCACATTCTTCTTAATGTATCCATTTCTCTCCAAGATTGGTGTGAAATGCTATTTTTTACATACTTTTCATTTGGAACCTGAAATGAGCAAATTGAGAGGAATGTGAAACAAAAAATCAGCTTATTTGATTTTAATCACAAATGTTAGGCCTATTGATATAAATCTTTTACAGTTCTATCATTAACATTTAGATAATGTCAGACTTTACCTATTCGAAAGACACTTGTACACCCTGTACTAATATCTATTACTTGTGTTCTTGAGAATGTTCACACTAGTGATCAAAACATTGTACCTGTTCTAAAAACAAATCTTACTTACTGTACAAGCTCTACCTTGTAACATAATATAATTAATCAATAAGTACACTAAAAACAAAACTATTAGTATCTAAGGCCTCAGTATAGAAGCTGAAACGTTGTCATCTTTCCACTCAACAGGCAGATGCAGTTCTCAAACCTACTACGTCTACTCTGCCTTAAGTTCTACTGAAATAACATATTAATATCTATTACCGTTTTATTAAGTTTTGTCTTTAAAAATTAAAGAAAGCATAGAGGAAAAGTAGGCTGTAAATTATATTTTAAATAAAAATTAACTGCCTCTCTGTCAACCTGCAGCTTGATGCAGAAGGAAGTTCTGCCCAATTTTAAGCCTAGATGGTGCAAAGTGGAGTCCTACTAAATCCAGTTCAATGTAGATGAAACAATTACCTGTTGTTGTCGTATTCCTTCTGCCAGAAGATCTTCAGCTTCTTCTTTCTGATCCTCAATCTTATCCACTAGTTGTTGGTTATCTTCAATAAGTCCATCTGCATTTCCTCTGATCTTCCTTGCCTAAAACACACATAAACAACTTCGTATTAATAATATCCCTTTACTTAGCCATCTGCTCATTACTTCAGTCTTTCTAAATAGAATTAAAACATTTTACATTTTGAAAACAGTTCAATTTTCATTATGAAAACAGAGCTTCTACAGTACCTACTGTTACATATTCCGACTTCTCCAGACCTTTCTATTAATTTTTGTTGTATAACTTCATAGTAAATAAATCTAATTTTGGGGAAAAACTATCAATTTTTGTATATCCCTCAGCATTAGAATGAACTATGTAACCACTATTGTTAGAATTCTTGAAGACAGTATGTCTTTCTTTTCAGTATTAGCATCTTTATGTATTTTTATTGCATTTTTTTTCTTAAAATAATTAACAACAGGAGCACAATTTTCTATACTCTGTTACAAAAGAGTTTGTATTTCACCCATCCATTGGACAGGTACTCCCAGCTAGTAGTTCAATATTATTTCTGTTTTTTCAAGTCCATTATTAGGCTGTTTTAGAACTTAAAGGAATGAAGTTCTAAGGTTTTTAATGTAAATATTGTACAGTCAGTCAGTTGAAGGTCTTCTCAAAAGATTAACTGTACAGTTATGTAAATTTCACATTCACGTTTTTTGGCTTTGTTTTAAAAGACTGTAGGTTGTGGCATGAAATTGTTGGTTAGTAATAAATGATTCTGTGTTTTCTGCATTGCTCCTGTGATAGCATGAGAGACCTGAAGTGAAAAGTGACAAGAAAGAAATGTCGAGGTCACCCTAACAATAAACACAAAGTATTCTGGTACAGACAAATGCCTGTGTTGCCTGTTCAGTTGAGCCAGCCCTAACAATGTAGCATAAATTCTGTTTATAAATTAATAGATGTACATTTACATATGTCCAGTATAGTTCCACATCTCTAGCTCACCAAAACATATTTTGGAAAATACGAAAGTCCAGAATTATTAATTCCATCATTCTTTTGGCAACAAAATTCAACTTTCCTGTTTAAAGTTGTTTTATTACTAAATAAACCACTCTTTCAAGTTATATTGTGTGTTATGGTCTGTTAAAGGTTTTTTATTGGGTTTTTTTTACTAAACACACCTCTTCAATTATCTCTTGAGCTTGGTCTTTCATTTTTGGCACATCAATGTTTGGTATGGTTACAGAACTAGCATCTGTGTAAATATCAAGAGCATCATCATATGCTTTATCAGCTTCATCTTGTGATTCTCTTGCTATATCTCTTGTCCTCTGAAGGAGGTCTGCAGTATCATCTAATCTAAAGTTGAAATGAAAAGTCTTCAATAATGATAATGGTTGTTCTTTCCACTAAAAAGATTGAGCTCAAACTGCATTTAGATTTATCAACAGGTAATTTTTTTTTAAGAACATTTTAGGAAAACAAGGAAATTCACGTTTTTGCATTTGGTTTGAGAGTCGCTTATTTCTCAACAAATTTATTCACTTATTTTAAGATTTTAGGCTACAATCTTGGCTTTGGAAGTACTGTGAAGTTATTAATGATCTACAGTTCTCTGGTATATAATTTTTTAACTTTTGTTGGGAAATTTGTGAACAAAGACTGAATAATTACTCAAAATATGTCAGGAGTAACATAATTATAATAACTCCAAAGATGTCAGGAGTAACATAACTGAGTGAAGAAAATTGCTATTTGAGCTGACTCATTAAAAAATACATATATATATAGTATTTAAATGCTAAAAGACATCACTAAACAGATATAACACATTTGTGGAAGTTACAAAAATTACATACTTATTTCTCAATTTTCTGATTTCATCTCGAGTCTCGTCTTGGGTATTGAGTGTATCCTTGGCCAACTGGTAAGCTTCTGTAGATGTATTTAAAGCTTCTTCAGCCAACTTTTCAATTTCAACTGCTTCCTCTTGATGCCTATTAAGTGAAAAATACTGATTTGAAAAAATGGGTAGTATAAGATCAGTTAAGAGAAACAGCTTCAATATAAACAACCTAGTACATGATACAGTCACAGTTAAGAGAAACAGCTTCAATATAAAAAACCTAGTACATGATACAGTCACAGTTAAGAGAAACAGCTTCAATATAAAAAACCTAGTACATGATACAGTCACAGTTAAGAGAAACAGCTTCAATATAAAAAACATAGTACACAATACAGTCACAGTTAAGAGAAACAGCTTCAATATAAACAACCTAGTACACAATACAGTCACAGTTAAGAGAAACAGCTTCAATATAAAAAAAACTAGTATACCATAAAGTCACAGTTAAGAGAAACAGCTTCAATATAAAAAAACTAGTATACCATAAAGTCACAGTTAAGAGAAACAGCTTCAATATAAACAACCAAGTACATGATACAGTTGTTAAGAGAATCATCTTCAATGCAGGATAAAAAAAAAACAGTTAAGACCAAAATCTTTCACAGCATATGCACAAATAAAAGTATGAAATTGTTTTAATTTTTATTCAAGACAAGGTTACTGAAGAACTGAAGTCAGTGTATTTTTCCAAACAACAAAAACATATAACATGAAAAAAAAAATGTAATAATGACAAGTGACTAGGACTTGTGGACCGTGTTATCGATACCCAACAACCCCAACCATAAGTAAACAGAGTGCCGTTTGTGAAACAACCAGAATTAAAAGAGGAAATGAGCAACGGCCATAACCGAACAAACTCCCAAAACTACCATTGGAGCAAGAAGTATGAGCAACTGAACCCAGCATTATGGGGTCTTGGCAATGCCTTGACTCAACCATAAGAACAGGGAAAGCTGTAACCACTATTACAAGTAAAATCATAACTCACTCAACCATATATGTAGGGCAGAGACATCCTATATCTGGAATTATGAGGAGGACAAGCAACATTCACCCAACAGAGTATATAACGTACTGTTGCCGGTATTATGAGGCAGACAAACTCTCTCAAACTCAACCGTAGAAGCAAGAAAGAATCTTCTACAACCAGAATTAACGAAAAAGAGAGGCATCTACTAGACATAACTGTAGGAAAAGGACATTGTCATCCTGAACCCGTAATTACAAGGAGGATCCCATGTAGGCTGGCCCCAATTATTACTTGATCATTGGTTTTGATAAGTGTGGTCTGCCCAGGCATAAAACATCTGGTAAAAGCACCAGTAGGGAACCAGCTTTGCCCTCATCTCACTGAGTGGACAAACGAGCATAATTACAGTAACATGAAATTACACACAGGAGGAAGCCTCCATGGTCCACAACCTCAGCAACTGAGAAATGAGAGTGGTAAGGCCTCCTACGCTCCACTAGAAGAAAAGCAGGGTGAGTGGGTAAAAAGGTGGTGGTGAGTCTGGAGGAACATCACAAGGAGTCAGTGCAATGGGTCAATGGGTGACTGCATTTCCCTATTTTGAAAAGCAGACGAAACCCTATTAAGGAATTAAAGGAGTGGCAGGGATGGGCATAAATCTCCTTCTGCTTTACTCATGAGTGATGGTCCACCAAAGATATAGTTTTAATGATTTCTAGTACTCAGATATACACCACCATGAAAGCACCCAGTGGTCTTACAGAAGCAACCCATCTCAACCATGAGCATTATATAGTTGCTTCGATGTGGGTTTGAGACAAAGCATACCTGACCAGGCAATGCCCACCACAAGGTGGGATCCATAAAGAAGATGCTAAGATTAGGGAAGCTGAAAGAAAACAGAGATGAAAGGATGCGATAAGACTTACGCCAGGCAAAGCCGAATAGACGTGTGTAGAGTCGCTATGGGAGGAAGACAGCTGGAGAAGTTGACAAACACAATCAGTGAGAGTAAGAGGTTACAGAACACTGAAGGGTTCCAGAGAATAAGGAGTCAGGTACACAAACCCTGAAAGAAGAAATAATGTGCCACATAACACCTGAAGGAACGAATTGGACAAGAAAGCCTGTCTTCATCAGAATGGAAGTATAGGTGGAAAATGGAAAGTAAGGAAGTAGGTGTGAAAGCCAGAACACAATCACTGGCAGTACAGGTCCCAGGGAGGAAGGACCGAGGTCAGGGTAAAGGATGACATAGTAGGAGTGGTAAGGATGTGGGTAACATGAATTGTATAAAAATCTGAACGATGAAAGCCACAAGCAAGGAGGAGAAGAATTTAGGTCGTGAGGGAGGGATGGTAGATTGAATATTAAGACAAAGGTTGAAATTTAGGATGGGAAAGAGCATAAAGGACTACAATGAGATTCCAATAGGTAAAGCAAAGGAGTAGAAGGGACAGGAGAAGACAAAACCAGGAAGAAATGGAAGGAGATATACACGGCAGCCCGAAAGCTGAACATGGATGAAGGGGACAACCCTTTGACAAACTATTGGGTGAAGAATAGGGAAGGAAGGGTAGGAAAGACAGAAACCAAGGTGAAGAGGCTAAAGTTGGAGGTACACTAACAACTGTGGGAAACAGACATTGAAGAAGATCTCATAGAGTCAGACCCTGGGCTGAGACAATGAAGAAGACAAAACCATGCATGAAAACAGAGAGTGATGACACCTGTGGAACAAGGGACCACTTTGTTATGAGAATCTTGTTGGAAGATAATCAAACCACCACCAGATGGAAGGAGCCAGGAAAAAAAGCAAGCAAAAATCACAATGTGATGACAGTGGGCTCAGAAAAAAAAAAAAGAAAGACCCAGGATCTTAAAGCACAGAGACCAGGAATTAGTACCCCCTGGTTCAGTGATATAAGTGACTACAGTGGAGAGGTGGGAATGTACTATAACAACCCCTGTAGGAGAGAAAGAAGATGATACAAAGCTCTACGAACCACCAAAGGCTCAAGAAAGGTGATATGGAGAAAGAATCTTTGATTGACCAGAGACAAGAAATCTCCTGGGAGTTGAGGTAAGAATCTCAGCCCCCTAAATAGGAGTATGGGAACAGACATAAATCCAGACAAGGCAGAGTAAGCAGCATCCACACTGCATTCTGTACTCTGTTCAGTCACCAAGTCAGAGATTTGAGCAGTTCCAATGATCATAGTGTTCATTGAAGGGTACGCATATGAGTCTGACCCATAGGAATGAGAGCTTTCAAGGAAGTTCACATCCCCAAAGAGATAGAACATATCAAGCCATAAGAAAGGTGAGGGATGTGTGAACTGCTCGCTCCAAACCCAAAGAGGAGAAGGGTGGACCCGACTGAGGTTGGAAAGAAGAACCCCCTAAATTAATGGGGTATTGAGAGGGGTTAGAATGAACTTCCCCCTTGTCATAAGGAAACCAACCCATTCTGCATCTTGTAGGAGCAGAGGAGTGTGAACTCTGGAGTGACAACAGGAGGAAGTAAGCAGGAGCCAGTCAAACCAGAGAAGGAAGAGTGCAAGACTCACAGAGTAAAAAAGTCAGGCAAAAGTTTGTATTCCCCAACAAAGCATGTAAAAAAGCTATCTAAGCCGTGTCATGCCAATCGAGAAAGTGAGGAATGAGCAGGAATAGCAGAGGGAACTAGTTGCACCATTACAGGTGGTACAATACTATTGGTGGAGAATAATCACATAATACGTAGATATTCAGAAATGGTGCAAAACTGGCGAGTTTCAGAAATTGTTTTCATTTTCATCCTATTTCAGATTAAACTGGTAAACATATTTATCAATGGAATAATTTCTTCAGTGTCTCATTTTATGTAGAACTCTAAAGATGCATCAGCTCTATTAATTTACATACCTATTTTATACCTTGACTCTTGTACTCATTTATATGTCATATCATATTGTTGACCAAACTTATCATTTTCCTGATTTGCTTTATGTCTTGTTGCATATGATAGTTCAGACACCTAGTGAGAATAGTGTGACCAAAATTATCATGTTATTGATTTACCCTTATTTTCTGTTTCCTGCATATTTTTAGGTATGCAACTAAACTGTTGACAGAAACATTTAACTTACTGATCTGCTCTATGTCTTGCCTCACGGGCTATTTCAGACATACGATGGGACTGCTGACCAAATTTATCTGATCTTTCCTTGGCCTTTTCTAAAGCATCCAGTCCCTCAGTTTCCAGGAGTTGGCGAGCATTTGCTAGTGCATCTTGGGCACGTTTAATTGCTTCCTCTGCAAGTGTAATGTTGCGTCTCCCTTCTTCACTGATGTCTCCAGCATCATCAATTTTGTCAGCAACCTTTCCAGCTGTTTTCTGCACATCCTCAATCCTCTTTCTCAGTTCATGCAGCTGGCCCAATAAGTTTCCATCTCCACCTGCAAGAAGTAGATAAATTGTATATCAACAGTTTTAAAAGTATAGAGTAAAACGTTCCTTAGTGCAAGCCTGTGGTTTACATACTGAATAATTTTTCAAAATGCACATATTCAAAAGCATATGAAATTGCAAGACAGATACTGATTTGAAACAAAATCGCCAACAATTACCTAACAGAAAATACATTACAGGATAACTTATGAGGGAAACCGATTGTTCTAGATTACCAAATGTTAGCTTTAGTTTTCAGTACCTGAAGCTCTCCTTGCATCATCTAGTAATTCATCAACACGTCTCATGACTTCTTCCAGTTTCTTTTCAAAATCCACGTCATCAACAACTTGAGGATTTTCTCTGATTTCATCCAATAATCTGGCCAACTCATCAAGCTTATCTCTGTGTTCATTTACTGCATCTTGTACCAAATTGTAGCAAGGAGGACAATCTATTAAACAAGCATGTTAGTAGTGAATTGAATTAATCACGTTCCAAGATATCTTGCTTTAGCAAATACAACTACAGTAGATAATGTCAAACCCAAAATAAACATTAATAAATCATTTACATAATCTATATGTGTGTATTTTTTGAAATATATATAAATCTGAAATTTGTCAGAATGTGAAAAAATGTTTTCATCAAGTTGCAGTTATTCTATGAGTCAAAGGATTTCTTAATTAAGATAAAAATTATTAATAAACCACAATAACAAAAAAGGTCTTGGTAATACAGTGATTATCATTAAGAGATAAAGCTAGATCAAGGAAAATTTAATAACAAAAAATATTAATTATAGAGAGACAAATGTGAAATTGATTTGCTTTTAACACAGATAAATTTTTTAAAAAAAACTATAAAATTTGATACAAGAATCACAACATAGTTACCAATACATCCAGCTTCTTTGTTGTACTTGTTTTCTTTGCATCTGTCACAACGTCGGCCCTCAACATTAGGCTTACACTTACACTGTCCGGAACTGTCACACTGTGGTGAAGTAGATCCTACAGGGTCGCACTCACATGCTGAAATACATTGTTTCATCTTATTTCATAAGTTTCTATACTTTTTTATTTAATGAATTATTTTTTTATGTAATTCCTAATGTAAGCATCTTTTTTTATTTTCCAATTTTTTTGCACATTAAAATCAAATAAATAACTGTTAGACAACTATCTGCAATGACTCTTGTAAGTCTACTTTTTTGTAATATATAATAATATTTAAATGATATGCTATCTTTTTAGTTTATTCCTCTAGCAAGTTTATTCATATTTATGATAATAAACTAAAATTATTGTTTGCTTGTTGAATTTCATGCAAAGCTACTTGAGGGCTATCTGTACTAGCGTCCTTACTTTTGTAATAGACCAAAAAAAAGCAGCTAATCAACGCTAACCACTGCCAACTCTTGCACTACTCTTTACCAACAAATAGTGGGATTGTAATGTCACCACGGCTGGAAGGGCAGGCATGTTCAAGGATGGGGTTTTATTCTACAACCTGCAGATTTCAAATTAAGTGCCTAAAAATTATAGACACTTACGTATGCAACCATCCAAGGAATAACCATAATAGTTAGGCAAGCACGATTCACATCTCTTTCCAGTAATTCCTGGACGACAGAAACATTGGCCAGTTCTCACATTACAGGTTCTATTAAATGCTCCAATGGGATCACAGTTACACAGCTCACAGCCATTTCCACTGTCCAGATTCCAGTAACCATCATCACACAGGTCACACTGACGTCCAGTTACATGAGGTTTACAGTGACATCTACCACTTCCCAGGTCACACGTGAGAATTCCATTATCAACAGCTTCAAGTAGTGTCCCAGGTGGATAACAGTTGCAAGCTAAGAAAGTTAAAGAGAGATATTATATCTTTTTTTTCATTATTTAGTTCTTTACAACTTAAAAATTAATGTGTGTATTTGACTAAATAAGTTTTAAGCATCCTGACTAAACAATAGTTCTTCTTTCTAATGTTAAACTTTTTAACTGGCATAACAAAATTCAACACAATACACAATAATGTAGTAAAGATGTTACGATGCATTGTTTTAAATGTATAATGATAAGAAGTACTGTGGATGGGACAGATCACAATTCATAGCTAAAAGGTAAAAAATACTGAATATAAATAATATTATTTGTTTACCAGCTACCTATAAAAAAACTCAAAACAGGAACAACAAAAGAATTACCTCCAGCACAAAGAAATATGGTTCAAAGTGAAGCCCTAATCCTGGATGACTTAAACACAATGGATTAGAAGCATGACACTAGTGGAAATTACACATAATTACTTTTTAAAGAAAAAATGTACTTGCATTAAATTTAAAATAACTCCTTGCATTTAAAATATTATCTTATTATTTATGTGATGGTATTTCAAAAGTAGATTACCTTTGCAATCTCCTTTGGGCACTGCCAGGGCATCACCATAGTAACCAGGAAGACAGGTTTCACAATGGGGACCTCCTGTGTTGTATATACACTTTAAACACTCTCCAGTTGTCCTATTAATAAAGAAGTAAAAAGTGGAATTCATTAGATAAATTCTAAAAACTAACTTGTACGCTGTATTAGTACCGAATAAAAATAAATTATTATTCTATCAATTTCTTATGGAGCACATCTTATTACTTAAACTTTTATCCTCTTTCTTTACCTGGGGTTAATAATCTATCATTCATTAACATTAACTGAGAGTTTTTGATTTGTTTTTTTATTTCTTTTAAAGACTGCCAGAAGATGCAACTGTAAAATATCAAAAATTTTGAGCAAATTTTCTCTGGCTAATGAAATTACTTTGCTTATAGTAAAAAAATTATTCATGTCAAATTATGTTCCATTGGTTGATAGTTTGTATCCTAAATCTAGTTGTGCTGGTGAGAGCTGATACTACCAAAATTGCTGTTCTTCTCTGGACTTGGGTTACCTAAAGTTAGCAAACATGTTTTCCTATCACAAGCCACCTCTACAGAAAGTGAAGAAAGTCCTAGTTTTTAGGTTTAACTGAAAAGCTGAGTATTTTCAAGCTGATAATAAAGGTGTGTGTACTTGTTTAAACACTAGGTGAAAGTACAAATTGTCTTTAAAAATGAACACTCACTTGTTACAATTCCCAACAGCATTCAAATCTATATTTTCATTACACTCACAGCTCTCACAGGGTCTTGAACCTCCATAATGTCCATTTGGATCACCAAAGTAACCATCAACACAAAGATCACACTTGTGTCCTGAAAAGTATGAAATTATCAAAAAAATTTTAAACAATATCTTTAGGATGGCATAATTTCTTCAAGACTAAAGCAAGGCCTAATTTCAAGTAGTTTTTTTCCCCTAATATTTTTGATAAGTTATCACTGCTTCTTTTAAGCAATCAAGCCACTTGGTAATAGCAGAATACACAAGTTGATGAAACAAAAACCAGATGTAATATTGTACAAGATTCTTTCTAAATTATGAGAATGGCCAAGAGTACATGCACAATGAAAAAGGTAATATGTAGCAATAACAATTTACATTTTGACAGCAAAACTGACACCAGAATGTCATGGAGTATTAGTGATAACAATCTATAACCTGGAATGTAAGCAAAAACTTGCACTCCCAGAAATTGCTTGATAAGGCTTATTCTGCCAATCAACATAACTAATAATTAAAAATATTATTCCTTTAAATACAGATACTTGGGTTATGGTTGCTAAGCTAATACGCAAGTTAAAAGTTACAAATGGGCTTCACTAGCCCTTATGTTAGAGAGAAAACAGCCTACACGCAACTTCATTACATTTTATTTTACCTCACCAATGAGTTACGCTAGTTAACGTATTCCATCCCTAAATCTGTCTGGGATATTACATGAATAGTTTAAAATAATATTTAAAAACACAATGTTTAAAACACATAACTATGTTTAAAACAAGATCAATTAACTCTGAAGTAAAAAACCTTGTACTTCTTGACAGTTTTGTAATGAAATATCAGAAGTACACTAATAATATGATCAAGAAGACACAGGACAGGCTTACTACAAGTAAACTTTAAGGCAACAGATTCCACAGACATTGAACACTTTAAACAACTAACCAGCATAGCCTGTTGGACACTGTAGGCAAGCAACTTCCTCATCAAGAAGGATCACACAAGCACCATTATTTGGACAGGGACAAGGCTGGCAGTCATCATGGGTACCCTGTAAGGCATTTCCATAATAACCAGTAGCACAATGTTCACAATTATCACCTGCAGTGTGGTGTTCACATATGCAACGTCCTAGAACAGAAAAACCGATTTTTTTTCCATCAAAAAAACATATCACACTTGACATGTACACATGAATAAACAGGAAACTGAAAATAAACTATTGGTTAAGTCTAATTTTTTTCTACTTTATTCATATCTTCAGTTGACAAAATGTGACATTTGCATAATTTATTGATAAAACTTGTAATACAAGGGCAAGTTCATAGGGTTAACTTTTTAGTATTTTTCTAGCTTGGAAATGTATACACAAACACAGAGTATTTGGAATAGTTATAAACATGATGAATAAAATAGAAAGTTCAAATATTATGGAAATGCTCTACCACTAATGTATGAAAATAAACTGCACAAGAGTACAGTCATGTGATGAAACATTATATTGTGATTGGCCTTCATCCAACCAATAAAACAGTACCATACCAGTGTGATGAATATAAACATATAGGCAGTCATACAATTCTCAGCAGTAGTGTGGTGAATGCACCTATAACTCCAAGATCAGAAATGTCACATAACAAATTTGTAGAAATCACGGTTTTTGACTGGTGAAGGCTACTCCATGCAACAGATTAAGGTGAAATTTCATGTTTCAGTAGAAATTGTACGGAAACTGAAGAGAATACAAAAACTAGTACTGTTAATAACAGAAACAACTGAGGTGGAAAGCTTAAACTCTTCAAACTGATGTTATGTAACTCAAGGCATGTTCTTTATATGATACAATGTCCACAGCCAGGATTTTGTAAAAGTGGGGCTGCTGAAAATTAGTGCTCAGAACTACATTCTGGAGGAATATGGAGTATGTGTCACGACTGCTAGTTCAGTTGTAAATTTAGGAATGAGACAAAAGATACAGTAATTAAATAACTGATACTTTTCATTCATTTCATACCATTCAGAACTGCTTTCTTTCTTCAAAAAGTGAGTAATGCATGATTTTTGTTTTTTTATCTTCTCATTTTAGCCCTTCTAAACAATGTTATCATGTTGCCATCTTGTATTAACACTGCTTCTTTTTTATAGTGTTTTAGATGATTTATGACACTCTAGTGTCTTATGAATGTATTTATGATGTGCCTTGACTAATCTAGACGAGTTAATTTACACTAAATTTGACTAAGTAATGTTAGGCACTAGAAAAATGTTGCTGCATTACAATATCATCATGTAATTATGCTAATAATTACAAGTAATAATAGTGAATAAATAATGCAGTGCTAATTTATACTAATTATACATTCAGTAGTTTTATCTCTAAAAGAGACACTCCACCATTAAGGGTGGGTTTGATCAAACACATTAAAAAACCCCTGGCTCTGGTGCTAATTATGATCAACCAGAGGAGATTTCGCAAATGGCCTCATTGTAAGTGCAGGTGAGAATGTTATCTCCAGAGCAGTTGGATACACATTAGCATGAAGTGGCCTCAATGAGTACGTAGCTGCTCAACAACCATTGCTTAGAAGAGATAACTACAATAAAAGGCTGAAATGGACATTAAACTTAAAACAATAGAATGAACAAAGTCAGAGGATGAATCCAAATTAAAATTGGCAACAACCTATAACAGTTTGTTTGACAACAGAGAGGAGAATGACATTATGATCAATATACAACGTATACAAAGGTATAAGTGGATCCCTATTCATCATGTTATTCCCACAATAAAAAGACAGGTTAAACAAGAAAATGACAACAAGCATGCAGCAAATGTGGTGAAACAATAACTGGTGATAAAATCAGGCCATTGGGACAGTTGCAACCATGGCTTGATCTGCACAGTCCTACTTTGAATATCATTATGGATGTATGAGCTTTTATGGAAACTGAAAAGGTCAAATGACAACCAAATAACTTAGTTGAAAAATAGTGAGTAATACAGGACATTTCCAATAATATTTTGCAATACTACATTAATACACTTATGGCAGCATAAAAAAGGGGTACTGCTCTGCTTACAGAAAATACAAGTACATTGTTTATTTTGATACACTTTTCTTTTGCATTTTCTGTAATATGTTGTACTTGAGACAGATTTACTATTTAATTGCAAATAATCACTGTTTGTGACTCCTGTATTTGTATCACCAGTACGCTTCCATAATTATTTCCAATAATGTATATAAAACTACTTCTATTTAATAACCAAAATTCTCTATGCTTTACCTACTAGAAATTCAGAAAGTATTGTAACCTGGAGTTTTATTTCAAGACATTATTAAAAGGCAAAAACCATGTTTAATATTCTCTAAGTAAATTGTAATAATTTTTAATTATATTGTGTAAACGAAGTTTTTAGCAACAATATGTGTTGTCTCTTATCTTAATTCTGTAAGGTTCACATGTTTGTTTCACCTGATTCAGAATCACAGTACTGAGCATGACCATTACAATTGCATGGGACACAACGTGCAAACTTGCCACCACCAGGTGGATCATGTCGAAATCCTGGCCCACAGGACTCGCAGAACTGGCCAACATAGCCATCAGGGCACGTACACATCTCTATCCAAGTAGCTTCAAATCCAACTGGTGAACGATGAGCTGAGTCAAGCTGTACGTTATCCAGAAATCCAGCTCCTATTTGACAAAAAAATAAATTACTGTTAACCAGAAACAAGTAATTTCTTTAAAATATCTACTTTATTAATCTATACTTTTCTATAATTAACAATTGGTTTTTATTTTTCTTCTTCTTATAAAACCATTGTCAATTTATTCTTTTTTTATTTTTGGGTAGTGCTCTCCTATACAAAAGAACAAGCTGAAAATGATTACAGAAGATCCAGTTTAACTTTTTTCAAAAACAAAGTGAAACCTTGTATATAAATAATAACATCTTCCCCTTGGTACTGAAGTTTCTCAGTTTTTTAGTTTCTAGAACTATTAGTTTATTACCAACACCAAAACAGTTTTACTTAAAAACTGATAATTCTTCAGACACAGAAGTATATTATACAGCTACTTAAATTAGAAAACATGTGAGATGACAGTAACAACAAGTTATCTTACATGCGAATACCTATTTTCATTTGGATATGAAAGGGTGATGTTTTTACTCATCTTATCACAAGTGCATTTAAATATTAAAATGTAATTTGATAATGAGTATTAAAGGTAAAAGTAAGTATTCTTATTATGGTATAATTAATTAATGGTACCATCTGCCGAGTATGTTCCTTTGATCTTGATAGCTGTTAAGTTTGACAAAATACTAATGAAGTCCAGGGCGCCTATCCGAGGGTTCCAGCCATAAATGGAATGTTCGTTAAGTAGAAATCTGTACTCTTGATTCTTAACATTTGGTAATGGATTTCCTTGGCCAAATATTGGTTGTGATATTGTAAGTCCTGAACCTTCCAAAATGATATCTTCCACTGTTGCTTGAGGCACATTATCACCAATTCTCAGGGTAAAATGGAGGAACTGATTATATGAGCTTTTCTGATCACCCAAATATCGACCTGAAACAATAAAAATGCATATACATATACTTAATTTCAAGAATTCAAATATTTACATGATGTATGATGACAAATATTTACATGTATGATGACAAAGATGACTAGAAACAAGCTTAAAATAATTAACACATACATAAAAACAAAACTATAACTTATGCAAATATCATTTTTTGTTTTTACCTGAAAAATAGGGGTAAAAAAATTAAGCTCTTTAATGTTAGAAGATAAGAGTGCTAACAAACCAACACTTTAAACCTTTGTACTAGAGAAGATACAATAATGATACTTTATGATTTTAAGGATAAATTGCAGATTTATGGATTTCGAAAGTATCAACATTTGAATATTAAATGTAGAATTAAAAGCAAATGAATCTATTTTACCACTTTTGAATGCAAAAGTTGTTAATCTAGGTGATAAGATTGTAAGTAATTGCTATCATAACTCAACTTTTCCCAGTTTTTATTTCATTTTACAAATTACATTCCTTTTGAGTAAAAGAAATATTTAATAAATATTCTAATTCATTGAGCTTATAAAATAGACTATTCCTTCATTGCCTTTCATCATGAAGATGAAAATACAAATAGTTCTTTACAAAAAATCATCTTTCATTTTTGGTTGCTAACATTATCAAGAAATATTTACAGGTTTTTCTATAAGACAGTGAAGTGCACTAGAACAAAACAATTAACCTATTGTGTTTTACCATGTACAGGAGAACATGTTTGAAATAAAATAAAATGTAAAAGTGTTAAATTGTAAGGTTTATCCTCAAATTCATCTTGAAATTGTGTTTAAGCCTACTATTTACTTGAGCAATTGGTTTAAGCTTTAAGACATTGTTCTGAAAACACAGTGCTCTTATATCATCTACAAATGTGGGCTCAAGCATCCACTGTATGAGTTCAAGAATTAAGGAACATGAAAATAATAACCCATATAATCAGTCAGATATCCTAGCTATCCTCCAACATGCTTCACAATATTCACCATTCAAGATTTTCACATTTTAGGAAGTGCATCAAATGAGAGAATGCTGAGACTGAAACTTTGTGGATATGTAACACTTACCAAAGCAAGAGGATTAAAGTATGTTTATGACTTTCGTAAACCCAGTTTACCAAGAAGACACAAAATACATGCAGAACAACAGCATGAAGATTTAGAAAACAAACTGAATGTATCTGACTTAAGATATATTCTATATTAATTATAAAAGGGTAAATATGATGATATCAATATCACCACGACTGCTTTGAAGGAAACTCGCAAGACGTATGTGTGTATGTGTGCTAAAGAATATTAATAAATCTCGCTAAGGAATAGAACAAATACTTATTGCACTGATAAGACATTCTTAAATGAATTATGATATATTCTAACCATGAAAAACATGAAAGTCTTCAAAAATTCTGTGCTTGAAAAGAGCTCTTTCAGAAGTTACTTTAGAGAAACAATGTTGTTTCCAATCAGCTGTTTAATAATCCAATGCTTACAGTATTTATTTTTCTATCTGGGAGTTGTCTGTTGTCAATGAAAGTGAATTGATTTTATGCTCAAATATAAGATCAGTTTATACATTTCACCTTGACGATTTGAGGAATATTTTCTTAATTTTTAAATCCCTTGACACTTTTTTTTATAATAAATAATTGAATTTCTTACCAGGAGCAGAAAAGTACACTGAGTCTATCCCTGATGATTCCACTCCTATATTCTGAATAATGGCATTATACTGAAAACCAACCTCTTCACCTGAATGAAGCTGAGCTTTCCAGTTTTCTTTCCCTGAATAAATAAATAAAAAAATTAAGGTATGTCTAACACTTCCACCATAAATTGTAGTTTGAAATTTGAGTTCAATATTTTCAGACAACTTTATACACATTTTACGTGATTATCAGGGATTATAAGGTTAAAAATAAAGACTTAAAAGGAAACAAGTAATTTTAATACTATTCACTTATTTTGAGATTTAAATCAATAAAGTTAGATAACTCATGCTTGCCATTTCAAGAGGGTCAAACCAAAAATGGTATATCAAGTTACTTCTGGCCTAGCTACTCTCTTAAATAACAGCAATAGAGTTAAATGATCTTATCTTAGTTAAAACTGCACTTTTTAAAAAAAAGCAACTTGGGAAGGGATCAAAGGTTAACTTTCATACAAATTTTGGTCCACTGTCCCATAATAAATTTTGAACATAAATGTTTGATATAGAAACCTACATAGATAAATTTCATATACAATAGTGGATTTTCAAAAGCAATTCCTAGATAATTCCTACAAGATCTCTTCTTTTGAATAGACTGGTCCTAAAGAATGGCTTAGAGATATAGATATCAGTTATGTACTCTGATAAAATTGTTTATCTTGCTACTTAGTGTTAAAAGCTGTTAAACAAACCAAAGTATAATTAAATTCAAGTTTCCTTACCTCTGGTGAAAGAACTTTCAATAGAAATTTTTGAATAACCAGGGGCACTTCTACATACCGAAGAATGACCATAACAGAAACAAGTAAGACACCCAAATTCATTCACTTCTTGCAGGCTGAAGAATCCAGGTTTACATCTGAATAAAGGTTAATAAGGAAACTTAATTTATGCACAAGCTGTGCTGTCTAAAGCTTCAAGTGACACATTACTAAAAAAGAACTTTCATGAGTAACTTTTTTAGTGAATATTAAGTTCTAGTTTAGCAACCTTATTTTATATGTCAGTAAACAATATTTGTAATACAGTTCTTTCTATGCAAACAAATACAGAGAACTACGTGGAAGAATGTCATCTTCATTTTAAAACAATCTTCACTTTTCATTCTTATAACAGTAAACATTCACTTACAAAAGGTGTTATATAGAACTTAATGTACAACTTAAAAGACTGTGCAAGAGAAAATAAACAAAACTTTATTACAGTTTCATTAACAGCTGAATTAAACCCTTATTTTTCTACATAAATCAAAACATGAGGTCCTAACTAGGAAACTCTTAAAGATTAAAGCTATTATATTTTCCTAATGAATGTTATGAAATGCACAATTTTACCTGTCACAATGTTGTCCTTCCACATTCTCCTTACATTGACATATTCCAGTTACAGGGTCACAGGTTGGTTCATTGTTCACACTTCCAGCTAAGTTACAGCCACAAGGCCTGCAATAATTGATTAATAACTTGATTTTCTTTCCTAAACAGTGTACAATTAGAACCTCATAAGTTTTTGTGCTGTTTTATGATTCTGGGGTAAAAACAAAATAAGATTATTAATCTTCTAACTTTATTGTGGATAATTTTCAATTAAACTTTAAATTACATTTCTATAAAACTTGTAATAATGTGTTACGAAACACCAATTTTCATAAATAACAGTGGAGAGTAGCAAATATATTAAGCATGTCATTTGTCGAAACCCAGTAGTTCCAGTGCACAAGCACTGAAATTTCATCTTAAAATACATGTTTAAAAAGGATTTTATTCTGTTTTGACGTAGCTTCAAAGGTTTCCATCATATATATATATATATATATATATATATATATATGTATATATAACACGTAGTTTAATTAAAGTTTACTTATTCTTAGTTTAAACATTGTCTT